TATTGCTGAGACGTGGGGAGGATAGATGAATCAGATTGGATCTATGCCGTTGGGCAGCTTCTAATACAATCAGCGAAATCAGCAATAGCTAGTCCATCAGTGTGCTATTAGAGTTTGTCTGTTGAGAGTATGGTGGGAGTCAGGCTCAGAGGAGGGAGTTCTGATCCTGTGGGGAGTCAGGAAAGACTGCTTGGAGGAAAAGGCATCTGACTCACACAATAAACCTGAAGCATGCATGCAAAGCAAGGAACATCTTCCTTCCTTTCCTTCCTGCAGGAAACCAGGGAGCTTCTTCGCCTTGCTGGGAGCATCTGGGAAGCAGAGAGAGAAACATCTGTGTTCCCTGCCCTCCTGTCGAAGTGCAGGAACTCAGAGGTGTCACTTCTCTTATTAGTCCAGCTGTGAGCATTTTTTAGACCAGCTGTCCTCTCATCCCTGAACCCCTGAGGAATGAGGCACAGAGCCTCCAAACAATATCATTAAAATGCTTCCCAGGAAGAGACTGAAGCCCAGCAGGTGAGAAGCTGACAGCAGCACTGAGCCATGCCGGTGGAGACAGAGGCTGAGGCTGAGGCGGGAAGTGCTTCCTATCTGGCTCGGCACCCACTGGTGAACCAACCTTGAACATGTCCCCTCACCTCTGGGCCTTGGTTTTCTCACCTGTAAAATGAAGATTGGCCTAGATGACCTCGGATGATATTTGTTCCCCTGACATTCCATGTTTTTAAAAGGAAACTATGAAATGGCTACACTACCCCCTTGCTAAGACTTTGGGGACCATTTTTTTCTGATAGCCTATAGAAGAAAATGGAATGGAAGCAATTCCTCAGGTAATTCTGGCTCCCCCCAAAACCTCTTTATATGCAAAATCTAACAGTTGCAAGCTCAGTTTGATAGGGAGCCTAGACTATACCTGACTAGCTAATTCACTTCACTTCCTCTTCCTAAATATAACCCTTGTGTTGATATTTCTAAGAAATATGTGATCATGGGCAAGTCATTTAACCTTTCCAAGTCTCTCCTTCTTAAAATGAAGACATTCAACTAAATTGTCTTTTTGCGGCCCCTTTGGCTCTCATTTTCTTTGCTCCTGTTTATTCAAGGCTTTGATCCTTGTGCAGCTTACTTATCTCCAGGAACAAGTGAGATATGGAAAAAGCAACCCAGGTGGGCTACTGTCTCCCTAAATCTCCTGTCGTGATTTGAATAAAATCACGTGTTTAATGGTGCCTTTCATAGACCAGCAGAATAGCAAAGTACTTTATAAGCACAGGCTTTGAGGCAGGCAGCCTGGGATCACATCTGGTCTCTACCACTTACTAGCTGTGTGGCCTTGAACAAGTACCAATCAATGTGAAGTACGTGTAAGTTTCCTTGTCTGTAAAATGGGAATTAGGATGGCCTATTGCTGTCCTAATGAGAGTTAACTGCATATCGCTTAGAGTTGTTAGGAAGATTAAATATGTAATGTTTTCCAGGAAATTTCTATCTACTGTAAGAGAAAACATATTTTTCTGATAAATATGCAACTGACCCTTGGTTAGGGATATAGGCAGTGGTAGGGATTGTAGCCAAGTAGAGAGTGTATATTCCCTCCAAATAGGGTGGCTTACTCCACAACTATAACATTGGAGGTCCCAGTGTTGCCAGGTCTGATTTTTTTCACAGGAAACCTGGATTTTTATGTGAAAGTGCCTTAGTTTTATACATTGGCTTGTTTTTCTTTTTTAATACTATGCAGGATAAATTAAAACACAGCTGTGGCCAGGATGTGGCCTGCAGTTTGCCAGTTTGTAACCTTTAATAAGTGCCCAATGAGTGCTAGGAAAAACCCTGGTCATCCAATTTAGCTCTCTCAACAACTCCATTTTACAGATATGGAAACTGAGACCGAGGCTAAGAGAGGTGAGATGACTTCCCCCATGTTACATGGCTGGATTATATTAGAGCCAGGATTTTAACTCAGGTCTTTGGACTCCCAGTCTGGTGCTCTTTTTGCTAAGCTACAGGAATCCTTCTGGAAGATCACAGCCTTGACGCTAAGCTGCCTGGAACTGTCTAGAAGCCTTGTGGGAACTCAGGGACTGGAGACACAGCTCTCCTCACCTCTTTTCCACATATTTGCCTACAGTGAGGAAAGAAAAAGACCCTCTCACATTGTTCTATATTGTTTTATACTCAGTACCTGTTTTAAGAAAAAAACAAGGAAGTAAAACCAAAGACATGCAGCCCGGCACCAGGCCGGAAACCAGGCCTGGGCCTGCCTGGCCTAAACCCGGTAGTTAAAAATCAACTCATAACTTAGAAACCGATGTTATTCACAGATTCCAGACATTGTATAGAAGAACATAGTGAAACTCCCTGCCCTATTCTGTTTCTCTCTGACCACCGGTGCATGCAGCCCCTGTCACGTACCCCCTGCTTGCTTAAATCAATCACAGCCCTTTCATGTGAAATTTTTAGTGTTGTAAGCCCTTAAAAGGGACAGAAATTGTGCACTTGGGGAGCTTGGATTTTAAGGCAGTAGCTTGCTGATGCTCCCAGCTGAATAAAGCCCTTCCTTCTACAACTCGGTGTCTGGGAGGTTTTGTCTGCGGCTCGTCCTGCTACAACAGTACGTGCAGACAACAGTGGTTCGACGTCATCCACAGACCCTCAACCTATGTGCCTACATGTAACACCTGCAGCTCAACAGTGGCTCAGGACAGAGTGTCGGGGGGGTGAAGCGGGCTGGTGATTCAGAGCTTCCAGGCACCAGAACTGTCTCAGCAGTTCCTCTCGCCCCATGCCTGCCAGCTTTGCGCACTTTCCCTGAGTTAGAATCACGAAATGTCTTTTAGTTGCAAAGCATCATAAAAGGATACAGGACAAAATAATCCTCAATACAATATAATTATAACGTATAATCTCCTTTGCATTTAAACACTTGAGCTTTAGCACATTTTAAGCCAAAAATGGGTGGTTGTTTATTTTTAACAAAACAAGATTAGCAAATGAAAATACACTATCATTCTTATTAGGAAGAGCTGAGCATCACTGGGCTGGGGAACTCCTCTGGGGGGCCTGATACGTCTTTCAAAATCTCGCATTGGGCCCTAATTCTCAACCTTCATTTCCTTCACTTTAAATTCTAGTGCAAACCAGCCCAGCCCTCCTGTCAGCATTTCCCGGCTCTGACAAGCTCTCTGCCCATCAGGAACTCCTCTCCGCTCCATTCTAAGAACCTCGTTAGGGGTGACTAGGATGTGTAACGCTGGCAAATCGCTTCTGAAAACACGTTTCCCACTTTGGCAGGAGATGGAACAGGGACTGTCCTGCTGGGGGAATGGCATGGCTTATCAGCTTTAGCCTCTACTCCATGTTCTTTACTGGGGTTTTCGTAATTTATTTTCCCTCCATTGCTTCCTCTCAAAGGTATTTGCATTTAAACAAGAGTTTGCTCCCCCGCTGATTATTTTCCCCTTCTTTGATTTCATTGCTAAGGCAGTCAGAGTTGCTGGCATGTTGAGGGCTGGATGGGCTCCATGGCAACAGCCAAGGAGTTGAATGGTGTGAACTTCACCTCCTTCCTTTTGCAGATACTATTGGCAGAGTAGGCACATTTAGGAGAAATTTCAAGGAAGTGAAAACGGAACTATTTGTCACCTCTGGGCTTCCTGGGCTTGTTTCGGAAACCTCTGGCTGGATTGAAATTCCTCAGAGAGGAGAAATCCCTGTGAGTGATGTTTCAAAGCCAGATGCACATGGTTCTTCTATCTGGGGAGAATGGTACAAGGAACAGGAAGAACAAGGTTCTAGGGTCGGTGCTGTCACCAACCAGTGGCATGACCTTGAGCAGACAGGTGATCTCTGGTTAACTTGGGTGCTTTGCACACTGCTGAATGAGCTCCCTGAGGGTCTTGGCTCACCTTGCATTCTAGCAGAGGAGTTCAGCATACTAAACATACAAGCTTTGTCGTCAAAGCTGGTCCCAAACCCAGGTGCATTATATATAAGGTTTGTGACTTCAGACAAACAACTTGATTGTTTTAAGCTGTGGCTTCCCCCAGAGGGTAAAATGGGGCTGTGGCAGATGGAATTGTTCACAGTTCTTCAAACCTTCTATCTTCCATGTGATTATGCAGTGCATACATGTGCACAGAAGTAGATTTTCTTATCCAACAGATGTTGGACTTGGCCATGTGACTTGCTTGGGCCAATGGAATGTTATCAACTTGGTACGAGCAGAGGCCGTAGTGTGCTTCCAAGGTTTGGTTTGGTTTTTACAGCCTATGATCCACCATTGAAAGAACAAGTACTTTATAGTGTCCGGTCAAAGGAGAAAGAGGACACACATGGAAGATGTGATGACTAGAACCCAATCATCAGCTTGGAGATCACCTATGGCTTGAACCTGAGCCCTTCCCAAACTAGCCTGCAGATGCATGAACTAGAAAATGAAATGCTTTTTATCGTAAGCCACTCCGTTTTGGGGGTAGTTTGTTGTGCAGTATTGTTGTGGCCATACCTGACTAATATACAGAAGCTACAATAGTGAGGATTAAAAGAAAATATGCAGGCTGGGCATGGTGGCTCACACCTGTAATCATAGCACTATGGGAGGTTGAGGTGGGAGGATCACTTGAGGTCAGGAGTTCAAGACCAGCCTGGGCAACATAGTGAGACCCCATCTCTAAAAAAGATTTAAAAATTAGCTGGGCACGGTGGCATGCCTGTAATCCCAGCTACTTGGGAGTCTGAGGTGGGAAGATCACTGAATTCAAGGTTTTAGTGAGCTATGATTGTGCCTCTGCACTCTAGCCTGGGCAAGAGAGCAAGCTCCTGTCTCTGAAAAAAAAAAAAAAAAAAAAAAAGAATAAAAAAGAGAATATGCATGTTACTCAGATGTTGGCTGTCTCCATATGCCACTGCTTTGTTCAGTCTGAATCAGCTCCAAATCAGGATTTTGTAGTTGATCAACTCTCTCTGCCCCCAACGCCCCTCAAGTATAGTACATGACCTTAACAAGCAATATAAATTTTATTACAGATTTTACTGAGAAGACAGAGACAGTTTATACCATGCTGTGCACAGCAACTTACATCAACTTCTTTATACACATCTCTGTTTCCCTTCAAAGACTATCCTGGACTACCATAGAGTTATTACTCTCTATCTGTTGACAAGCCCCATGCTCCCTCTGAGACCCTCCTCGTCACTCTCTGCATTCTCACAGGAAGTTAGCTTTAGCTTGCCCCCTCCAAGCTTGTGTCCTATGTCCATCACTTAATGTCTTGAGGTACAGTACACCCAAGTCCCACAGCAAACGAGACTTCAGTTGTCCAGATCCATCCCATGAAATGGTGTAGCAGGTAGCAGACATTATTCTTGCCTGAAGACCTCATGCAGCCTACAGATGGTCTGGACAGAAATGCCAAGTGTTGACTCTGTTGGGTGATGGAGGGGAGTTGGTCGATAAGTACCTGATATGGTTTGGCTGTGTCCCCACCCAAATCTCATCTTGAATTGTTGCTCCCATAAACCCCACATGTCGTGGGAGAGACCCTGTGGGAGGTAATTGAATCACGGGGGCAGGTTTTCCCATGCTGTTCTCGTGATAGGGAATAAGTCTTACAAGATCTGATGGTTTTATAAAGGGTAGTTCCCCTGCACATGCTCTCTTGCCTGCCACCATGTAAGATGTGCCTTTGCTCCTTCTTTGCCTTCCACCACAATTGTGAGGCCTCCCCAGCCATGTGAAACTGTGAGTCTATTAAACCTCTTTTACTTTATAAATAACCCAGTCTCAGGTATTTCTTCATAACAGTATGAAAATGGACTAATATAGTACCTTAGCTTCCTTTTCCTTGGGTGGGGCAACTCTGAGGTATGTTCTACACTATGTAGAACCAGAAGATTTGAACTCCAGGTACTCACAGCAGTCACCCTCTCACCATCTAAAAACAAACAAACAGTATTGGTAATATACCCAATACTGGCTCCTTTCCCTTTCCTGTCTTTCTTAAGCCACTCCCTTACCATCTCTTCTCCAGATCACCTCCCAAGTAAACTACATGCATCTCGATCTTGGTCTCAGAGTCTTCTTTTGGAGGAACTCAACCTCAGACAGATGGTGTGTGTGTATAAGTGTGTATGCACAGTTACATGTGTGAACGCATATAAGTGTGTAGATGATATTAAGAGTAAGTAGTTACTTTTCTCGCTATAAATACTGGTTCCCTCCTTACTTAATGTGGTGTCAGGCAGACAGTTAGCATTCGATACTTACTTGGTAGCCATGATGATCATGATGGTGATAACTTTGGTGAGGGTGAATCTCTATGTACTTGGCATGGTCCCCCAGGAGTCTTCTCCATATACTCTTCTTGCTTGTTGCTTGAACATCTGAACTCATGGGTACCTTGTTCACTTGTACCACTCTCTACTTGCCCCCAAGCCCCATTCTCCTTATGAAACCCTCCTCATTGCTCTCTGTATTCTCAGATACAGGAAGTTAGTTGCAGCCTCTGGTCTGGCTTTAGTAGTAATAATAACCCATAACTTCTAAAGAATATTTTAGAGTTTATAAAATGAGTTGATATTCATTCATTCACTCACTCATTTATGCAACTATTATGTTTCAAACGCCTACCACACGCCAGGCATTGACCGAGGTGCTGGAAGAACAGCAGAGACCAACACTGGCAAGGTCTGTACCCTCATGGAACTTAGGTTCTAGTGGTGGAGAGGCACACAACTTAGCAGCAAATTAATTTAATTAATATTCTAAATAAGTATTTAAAAATACATATCTTTGGGAGGCCGAGGTGGGCAGATCACTTGAGGTCAGGAGTTCGAGACCAGCCTGGCCAACATGGCAGAACCCCATCTCTACTAAAAATACAAAAATTAGTCAGGCATGGTGGCAGTAATCTGTAATCCCAGCTACTTGGGAGGCTGAGGCAGGAGATGCACTTGAACCTGGGAGGCGGATGTTGCAGTCAGCTGAGACTGTGCCACTCCACTCCAGCCTGGGCGACAGAGTGAGACTCTGTCTAAAAACAAACACACAGGCAAACAAACAAACACACAGATCTTACAAACAAACAATTAAGCAAGAGCTTAGACCATGGTAACTGCTACACAGAAAACAGAACGGGACAGTCTGATAGGGAGCGTCTGGGGAGTACTTTTTAGGTGGGAGATCAGGCCAGCAACTGCAGAGAGAACAAGTAGCCAGAAGTTCAGGTATTTAGAGGATGGAAATTATACATTTCACCCTTTTTTATTTTAATTTTTTAAAGACAGGGTCTCGCTTTGTTGCCCAGGCTGGAGTGCAGTGGTGTGATCACGGCTCACTGCAGCCTTGAACTCCCAGGCACAATTGATCTTCCCACTTCAGCCTGCTGGGCAGCTGGGACTACAGGCGATGCTACCACACCCAGCTATTTTTTTTAATTTTTTTATTTTTTGTAGCAACGGGGTTTTACCATGTTGTTCATGCTAGTCTTGAACTCCTGCGCTCAAGTGATTCTCCTGCCTCAGCCTTTCAAAGTGCTGGGACTACAAGTGTGAGCCACCATGCCTGGCTTCTCATCTTGGAATCTTAAAACAACTTTGGGTACTTATTCTTCTTTCTTTCAGGCTATATATATATATTTTTTTTAATAATAAGGAGGCTGTGGCTCAGAGAAATCTGGTAATTTTCCCTGTGTCACAGAATATGGAACTGTCACAATTGTTTGGAGGTTACCCAGATGGCGTTGCACAGAAGATCTCAGATGAAAACATTAGGAATACAGATGATCCCTCTGTTCACCCCAAACCCCAGCCCCCAGTGTTGGGGATATGATCAGCTCTAAGCCAAGTGTCACTGATGACTTTTCTCTCCCTGCTCAGTGTTCCTGGCCAAGACACACAGCAGGAGGAAGGCAGCTCTCACCAGTCTTTCCACGACAGAGCCAGCTGGGTGCCTAGGGCAATAGACTGATTCACAGCAGTGGCCAAAGATGCCAGCTGCCACCTTGCAGTCTTTGGATGATGCAATGATTCAGGGAAGTGCCATTGCTAACTCATTTACACTTTTGTGCTGCATGTGGCAGCACAGAACCGCAGCAAGGGTGCAGAGGTGGGTTTCCACTTCCAGACACTGTCGATGATGGGCAGTGGGCTGGGACGGCTCACTCCTGCCTGCAGTCAAGCAGGTGTGCCCTCCTAGTTCTCAGGTTCTGAGCCTGGAATTCCATAGCTACAACTTTTCTGAGTTTACCACCACTCAGGCAACTAACCAGTGATGCCTACTGTCTAAAGTTTTCCCTTATGTGGAAACAGAGGCATGGAGCAGGCAATGACTTGTTCATAGTCACTGTAATTATGAGCACCAGCTTGAACTCAGGAACTCTTATAAATTTCTGTTTTCAACCAAGTGTTGTGTCTGCTACGCGTCAGGCACTGTGCTAGGTGCTGAAAAGCTCACTTCTACTGAGGAAGACAGGAACATAAATGGTGATGAGCATTGCGTTAGAAGTGATGCCACAGGAATAGTGTGGGGCCTCTCCAGGGGGATTGCAAGGTAGGGAGACCGCAGTTCTCCAGTGGTAGAAAGGGCAGACAGGGTGGATGGGGTCCTGAAAGTCTGATGCAAAGACTTTTGTTTGAGCTGTTCACTGCTCTTTCCAATAAGATATAGTACAGTCTTCCATTTATTTAAGCCCATTTTATTTAAAATATTCACTTATTTTAATTTTTAGCTTCAATTTTAAATTTGAATATTTAATCATGAAAAAAAGAAAAGCATTACCATCAACTTGTGTGAGCTGTATCAGGTCTCAAAATGTATCCATGTCTCAATTTCTTCAAGAAGACTGAATGAGTTTAAATATATAAAGTACTTAGAACAGGATCCTGCACTATGCTATGGTTCTTGCCTTCTCTCTCAGAGGACATCAGTAGGTGGAAATTGGGTGTGAATGAGCAACTGCAGCAATTCATGCACCTGCAGGCTCTAAATCCTGCCCCTGGGGGCTGCAGGTGCCACCTCTGGCCTCAGTGAGCTGAAGTCATGGATGAAGCCTACACCACAATAAACTCTGCAGTGCTATTGCGAGGATCACTGTGGGATATCATTTCAGTGTATGATCATGGTGCTTATTGTTTTGCTCTTTTTTTTTTTTTTTTTTTTTTTTTGAGACAGAGTCTTGCTCTGTTGCCCAGGCTGGAGTGCAGTGGTGTGATCTTGGCTCACTGCAACCTCCGCCTCCCGGGTTCAAGCGATTCTCCTGCCTCAGCCTCCCGAGTAGCTGGGACTATAGGCATGTACCACCATGCCCAGCTAATTTTAGTAGAGATGGGGTTTCACCATATTGGTCAGGCTGGTCTTGAACTCCTGACCTCAAGTGATCCATCTGCCTTGGCCTCCCAAAGTGCTGGGATTACAGGCGTGAGCCACCACGCCCAGCCTTTTTTTTTTTTGGACAGGGTCTTACTCTGTCACTCAGGTGGGAGTGCAGTGCAATGATGGCTCACTGCAGCCTCGATCTCCCGAGCTCAAGCAATCCTCCCACCTTAGCGTCTGAGAAGCTGGGACTACAGGTGCATGCCATCATGCCCAGCTTATTTTTGTATTTTCTGTAGAGACGGGGTTCCACCATGTTGCCCAGCTGACCTTGAACTCCTGGGCTTAAGTAATTTTCCTGTCTTGGTCTCCCAAAGTGCTGGGACTATAGGCATGAGCCACTGCACCCAGCCTTATTGTTTCTCAAAAGACAAACATGTGGCCTCTGGGTCTGTTGCTTGCTGCAGGTCAGCATTTATTTCATTTGCTAAAACACACATACAAATAAACTAACAAAAAGCCCACAGAGCAAAGCATTCCTACTGAGAGACAAGATACACATTTAGGCAAACAGGAGGACAAAAATGATCTATCTCAGTCATGTCCAGAACCTGCTGGGCTTGTGACTGGGCTTGGAGAGGTTCTATACAAAGAAATGACACTTTGAAATGGTGCTTGGGCCCTTAGTGTTTGCTTGGAAGCTTGCAGAACAAACTGCTTCCTAGCATCTGATGGGAGGAGCTGGCAAAGGCTATGATAGGTCCACTGTGAGTGGAGGTTTGGATTTCAGAACAGAGCAGTAGATGGGAACTATTATTCTCTATATTTATTTATATATACATATATGTAATTATATATCATTTATTTACATTTATTTATAAATATCTCTCTCTCTGTGTGTGTGTGTGTGTGTGTGTGTGTGTATATATATATATATATATATTTTTTTTTTTTTCTCCTCACCTGCATGGAAAAATATTATTCCCAAAGAGGGTCTAGCACATTAAAAACCCATCAAGAAACATCTCGGACCAATAGTCAGCTGGTCCCAGGTGTTGGGGTGGACACACACAAACTGTCAAGGCAAACAAATGGCATTTGCCTGGTGCTCAGGATACAGAGTGTCTCCAAGTCCTCCCAGTGTTGGGGAGGCAGGAGGAAGCTCAGGATCTGGCACATGCCAAGGAAAAGATGACTTTCAAACCCAGTTTGGTGCCCGCTGGAGCAGAGTAGATTCTGCAGCTGCTCTGTCTCTGTGCTTTTAAGGATGTGGTTGTCCCTTCCTTTCCCTGAGATTATGTCTTTTAAAGAAGGCCATCTGCCAAAAGCTACCCTTTAAAACCCTGCCCAAAGTTTGTTAATCGAATCACACCATTTCTCAAAAACCTTCAACAGTTCCCCAATGCATAGGGATAGAAGTCCAAATCCTAAGCTCGGCACCCCTAGTCTTCCCTAATATGCCTTAAACCCCGCCGCTCCTCTACTCCATTTTTCAACCATAGCATGGAAACTCACCAGTATACAAATAAGCCTGTATTTACCACTTCTGGGGCTTTGCGGATACTGTCTCTTCTGCCTGAAGGCCGTCTTTTCTCTTCCTTTATCCTAACCTTGTCATTTATATGACAAGATTTTATTTGACTGGCAGGTCTATTATATGCTAGACATTATTCTAGTGCTATTTGAAATGACCATAGTCATAGATTGCAGACAGGGCCACAAATTCTTCACTTCCCTGAATCCATGGCCCCTTGACATGGTCTCCAGTTCTGACTCGGGTTTAGTCATGTGATTTGCTTTGGCCAGTGAGATGTTGGCAAATACAATGCAAACAGAGGTCTGAAAAGGGCTTAAATTCTTTTTTCTTGGAAATCTTCTGTCACTGTGTGAAAAAGTCTGGACTAGCCTGCTGGAGGCTGAACAACCTATGAAACAGAGACAATCTATCCCAGCTAAGGGCCCTAGACCAATCAGTCCCAAGTTGACCTGGCATCTGTTCACAGATGCATGCCAACCACAGAATCCTGTGCTAAATAAATGGTTGTTATTTTAAGTTACACATTTTGGGTGATTTGTTGAATACGGTAGATAAATAATGCAGCCACCAATTGTTTTTTACCAATTTAACACCTCTTACTCTTCTGTTGGTAATAGCAAATCAACGAACACCTTCCTCTGTTCTCATCTATGCTATATGCTTCTAGCAAAGTTGATTCGAACTGCTGCCTCTGACTCTAGAGATGGCCAATCAGTGTATCCCTGGCCACCAGAATGGGCACATGATTCAAGCTGGTTCAGCGAGACTAAGTCTAGAATTTTTATTGTGATTCTTGGAATAATGACGCCCTTTTTCTACCGAGATGGCTTGGCTAGGAGAATATAAGCCTCAAGAAGCTGGTAGTAATCTTGCCACTGTGAGGGGAGAACCTGCCTTAGAATGAAGCTAACCACAGAAGAGAGAAGAACTGAGAGACACAGAGTGAGCCCAGTAGACATCACGTGAC